AAAAAGCTTCACTTGGTACTTGCCACTTTGGGAAATCTTCTTTGTCACAAAGAGATTGTTCTTGATGTAGGATGGGAATTCTGCCAATGCAGACAATGCTGCCACAAGCCAACAGTTGCCAACAGTGCCTTGGCACGCATCTGCAGGCTCTACATCTGCAAAGAGAGCAGGATGAGGATGTAGAGACACGGCTCGAAGCCATCGATTGCCTTTGTATTTGCTGGCGGCTGCGCCAATGGAGTCATTGTTGTGAGGGAAATCGGGATCTTTCCATCCATCCTCCACAGCTCTGACCTTCAAACCAAATTTAAAGCCTTTGGGCACGTCATCATCGTTCAACCCGACCACCGCCATCTTCCCACCATGAGCCTCATCTATCCAAAGGGCCAAGTCTGGGGAATACACATCCGTAGGTCTCGAGGTGAACAAAGAGGGCTTCCCAAAGACACAAGATTCTCCAATTTTCCACATGCCTTTGGGCTCTTCATAGAAGAGAAAACGTTCAGATCTTTGGTGATACACAGTCCGGTTGCCCAATTCATAACTCATCGTTTTGAAGACGTCCTTTCCGTCAATCAGGATTGCCTGAGCTGCTTTGGCACGCTCTTCTTCTGGTGTCAATGGCGGTTCTGCAGAGCATGTCATTTGCGACTCTTTGACAAAGTTTTTCTTTCCACCTGAGGCCGCTCTGCTCCTACTCAGTCGGCTTCCCTTTTATCATCAAGCAAACCATCAACGAATCAAATAGCCAACTAGTCACAAACCTTCAGAACTGGTCTCGACAAACGACAAAGAACCGGAGCAACGATGGGAGACACGGAGTCCCCCTGCAAACTGCCTGGCTTAACTAAGGAATCGGATAATTCAATTGGAACAATGACTCTCAAAGTGAAACCAAGATGGCGAGTCAGCTTTTGCTTCACAAGACAGGTGGTTGCAACGTCCATATGGGCCTTTGTGGAAGGATCTAAAATTAGCGGGGACATGTGCTTCTTCCAGCATACACTGTATTGCTCGCATCAAGAGCGCAATGAAGTGGTGTTGATCCATCAGTTTTTTCACAGCAAATTGTATTAAACCAGTTCCTTCAAAACGGGAACCTTGGGGAAGACAGAGACTTTTGGAGGCCAAGTATGGCGCAGATTATCTTGTCAGAAAGGACTGCCTCGGACTGACATGGTAAAATGTTGAGAGACTGTGCAAGAGTGCAAGAGTCTGCTGAAATAACTCATTTTGTCTGCAAATTCAACAGAAAAGTCGATTCCTGCTTTAAACCATTTTGGAGACGCCGAGCGCAGAGCGAAAGACCTGGGGGCAACGAAGGTCCATCTGCTTGTGGTGAACCGTGCTTCTCCGGACTCCTGCTCCTGCCTTTGTTCCTCCTTGCTGTTGCTCCTGCTGCTACCGCAGCGATACCACCACTGCTACTGCTACTGCTACTGCTCTTGCTCCTGCTCCTGCTCCTGCTCCTGCTCCTCCTGCTCCTCCTGCTCCT